TGCTTTTTTTTTTTTTTTTTTTAATTATTACTATTTTTTTTAATCCTTGTGATTTTGTGTGGGTAGTGTAATGAACACTTTATAAATCAGTTGCAGAATTTCCATGGTCACCTGCTGGGAGTGGGGCAGGAGGAGTTACGATACAGTGTACATTTGGTGGAAGAATAAAAATATGAACAAAGACGTCTTCCTTTTTATGGCGTGTTTGAACATTTAGAAGATCATATTGTCAGATGCATTAGAATCGTTGAAAAAGGTTTGTTTGCCTCTGTTTTACAAATCATGAGCCTCGTGGCACAGTGCGGTAAATTGAAGCACTTCAGATCCCGTGGAAAGCAGAAAGGGTTGCAGATACTCCTACCCCGGTGGTCATCACTCCTCTTGACTTTCTTAGTTGAGGTGGAGGTAGCCCGGTATTATTTAATCCTCCTACCACCATGGTATCCGTAATATGACGAGCACTCACAGGCAAGGAGGTGAAGACGGGTATTTTGATTTGCCCAACTAATTCTGGACACCTGCGGTTGCGGTGTCGAGCTTAAGGCACTTTGAGAGACATAATCCCATAGAACTGCCTGTCCACCCAAAATCCAGGCCATTCCAGACCAGGATCCCAACCTGGATGTCTCTGTAGCTTGTTATTAACTTCTTGGCCCAAAGAAGCATCTGAGAGCTTATTATGCACTCAGACCAATGAAGGGCCGAGGATCCAGCTACACAAATCTTATTGTAGGATGGATGTTAAAGAAAAGGATAATTAGATTAACAATTTCTGTCATTGCATGTGTCTTGGAGGAAGCTTTCCTATGTCACTGTCAGTAGAAAACTATTCCAGGTATAAGCAACATTCTTAGAAAAGACTATCCATTCATAAAATAACCCAGTGTCCCACTTCCCTCTGTTTCTAAAAAGACACTAGTATAAAAAAAAAATACTGAAATAAAATAAACCAAAGTAACATAAAAGAAAACAAAATTAAAATAAAATAAAAAATAAAATAAAATAATACCCCCCCCCAAATAATGTAGTAAAACATGGCTTAGGTCTGAGGCAACTGTTCTGTAGCAGGTATTTATATATTTATATATTCTCATTAACTCCTTGGTATTGATTTACTGTGAAAAAGAAAATGATTTAAAGATCTAAATTAAAATTAATATTAAAATGAAGATTAAAGATCTACGTTTCTGTAATTTCAGTATGTAAATAAAGGGCTTCCCATCAGATATTCGGGGTTTCGGCTGCTAAAGGGCTCTGGATTACTGCGAAGTGGGGTGTTCAGGAGAACGGGGCAGGCCAAATGTTCGATTCCCAGCAGACACCGAGCACCCACCCCGTCTCCCTTGGCACCTCCCCAACCCCCAGTAACCCTACGTCTTCATTTGCATTGTGTAAATCCTGATATGTGACTTCGCCTCAACCGACGCTGATTTTGGTAAATAGCTCTTGAAGTCAGCTCTTAGGCTGAGGCCCAACCCTACTCTGCACAAACTTCTTCCTGGCCCGGACAGCCCAGCCAAGTCTCAAAGCCCTGCTCTTAGGATGCTGCGTGGCTAGAGCTCGGTTGGGTGCCCCCAGCCCTGCACTGCTGCCTCACCCCACCAACCGCTCAAAGCTGCTGAAGCACAGAGGTGTCCAGCTGTAGGGATGTGCAGAAGCTTTGGGTTTTTTGGTTCTGCGGCCAAACTGAAAACGAAGAAAAGTGTTGAAAAATAATAATAAAAAAATTTAAATTGTCATCTTTTCCTCACCCAGCTGAATCATCTAAACTAGAGTCCTGTGCTGAGCAAAATGACCCAGAGAAATAGCAGGAACATCTTTCTGATGCACTGAGTTCCAGGGTTGTGACAAAAAGTTGAATTATTTATGCAAAGTGGCACGGCACCATGAGGCGATGCTCAGTACCACGAGAGTCAGGGTACTCTAGCAAAAGGTAATATATGTAGATTCAGGTCCCCTTGGGGTGAGGAGAAAATCAAATTGCATCTGACATATCCTTGGTGAGTTTCTTTATCCTCGCAGCAGAGAGGCCCCAACATTTTTTCCAATCAAAGCTATTGAGTGAATTCAGACTGAACTCACGAAAGGCTTCAGGTTGACAACACGTCACCCAGCTGCCCTCACTGGTCCCAACCAGTGCCTTGGATGGAATTGTGGCCAGAACTGAGAGGCAAAACAGGGATGATTTTGTCATATTCTTCCTTCTTGAGGCATCATAAAGAAAAGTTAGCAGTGCAGGAGATACTTATTTACGGTGCATTTTGCCTGTGCAGTTATTTAGGGGATTTCTGCTCCCTTCTTCCTATGTTCTTAGTCATTTATTGACATTGGGCCCTTTTTAATTAGTTGCTTTCTGAACATTGTACAAGCAGCTCGAGAGTTTTCTGATCGGCACAATTTTTTTTACATTAAATTAAAACATGGAATTCAAAAGCTGCAGTCCGGCGCAGCTAAAGCTTTTTGGTGATCTTCACATACGTTGACATACATTTTAGTCAAGCCAAGATAAATGTAAGAGCTCGTGGCCACCGTTGTTTTATCGGAGGCAAATCCTGCAGTTTAGGAATCTGGATGAGAAGGGATGATGTGCTCTTTTAATCGCGGGGTGAGATATGCTCTCTCTCGCTGCTTGTTATGTTACCTTTCCCCACGTAAACCCCGTGCTGAAATAAAGCCAGCTGGATAGTTTTCAGGGAAAATGGTTGACCCCGCTGTGGCAGGGCATCGCACACCAACACGATGGGGCCAGACAGCCCAGTTTTTCCTAGGAAGGTTGGTTACCACTGTTGGCAGGGGCAGAGGAAAGCCTGGCAAAACCCGTCTTGTAACAGCCCTGCAGACACGGGTAGTCCTCTTACAGGGTTTTGGGGCTTAATTGCAATGTTCCTTCCTGGGTGAACCACTGTAGGATTTGTCTGCATGTGGAAAAAAATGCTGTTCTTGGTATATTTAAGACGGCGAGGGAACAGGAGCAGAAGCAGAACTGTGAAGCTCCGTCTGAAGCTCTGATGCACTGTTTAGTCCCCTAAAGTAGTGAAGCAGTGGTAGAGCCGCTCTTAACTCGTTTGTGGTAACAGCACCCTAAGCATCAGGAGCACCTGAGCCCACCACACTAGAAGCAAAAATCTTGCTGCTGGTGCACATGGCCCCAAAAAGCCATTCCGTGGTTTAGGGCTTAAGGCCCAAGAGTGATCATGGAGAGGTCTGTAAGCCAACAAGGGGACTGACTTTTTTTTTTTTTTTTTTTTTTTTTTTTTTTTTCTCAAGAGAGCTAAGGCAGAGAGAAAAAAAGAAAAAGAATAAAAAAGAAGGCAATCTGGGGAAATCTCCGAAAGGCCAGCGTGCAGGCAATGCCAGCCAGAGCTAACGTGGGGTCCTCTTCCTCGCTGCACCCATGTGCCAGCCCTGCCAGTGCGCATCCAACTAAAACCCTCATTAGGGGCAAAACTTGGAAGCTGCAGCTCGCAGAGGAGATACCCCTCTCTCTGCTGCCCTGGGGGGAAGACTGACTCCTGTAAGTCTACAAAAAAGGGCCTTTGGGCCTTATCCAAAAAGCCACAGTCTTAACTCTGTATGACTTCCATTGCATAGTCTATGATCAGAAAGTTAAGCGCTTACATATTTTTTTAAGAGCAGGATGCTAGCTTATGAGTTCCTTAGGGCAGAGATTTTTTTTTTCCTGTTCAAACAATGGACTTTTAAGTTTTTTTTTTTTTGTTTTTTT